TGGCCATATAAGGCAATTCTGGAAAACTGTGGGAGGGAAACTCTACGAGGTATCACTGGGACACAACCAAGATTAAAACTGAGGTTTACTCAACTCCAAAACCACCCTCCCCCTAGATTAAGAAAAAATACACCAAAAAATAAACAAAAACTCCCAAACCACTCCCTCCTAGGAATTATGAAAGAAATGGATGATGAGAAATGACTTGAAAGGGATAATTTGTGTGAACAATTCACTCTCCTCATTTTTATTTTGTGATTCCAAGTAAAATGGATATATCTCTGGATTTGTCGACTATTCCCATACATATTTTTAGGAGATAAGGACGCTGTATGCTACGTTTCATATACTTCTCTCCAGCAAAGCATTCCTGCATTAGACTGTTATCAATGCCCAGGGGTGGGGGATGGTAGATTGTCTCTGACCGAGTCATCTGGCGCTTTTCTTGACTTGTTGGTTATGGTCCCAGCCACATGCCTGCTCCATCCACCTCTTTCACTACTAAAGCTGATGACTCACCTCTCAACTGTTTTCTCAACATCCACAAAATGAAGCATTGGATTAAAGAAAACAAATGAGAGAAAAGTTTTATGTATGAGCTAATACAGCCTTAGCCTTGCTATGAGCACTCCGGATTCATCTCTAGCCAGTGGTTCTCACCTTCCGGCCCTTTAAATACAGTTCCTCCTGTGGTGACCCAACCATAACGTTATTTTCGTTGCTACTTCATCACTGTCATGTTGCTACTGTGATGAATCGTCATGTAAATATCCGATCTGCAGGATGGTCTTAGGCGACCCCTGTGAAAGGGTCGTTCTACCACCAAAGGGGTCGCGACCCACAGGTTGAGAATCGCTGATCTAGACTTTTCTCCAGAGAAGGATCAGAGATCAAGTTTATAGTTGCTCTTAAAAAAAAAAAAAAGTTTGTGTTGATTCTAGAGAGAGAAGAAGGAAGAGGGGGAGAAAGAGAAACATCAGTGTGAGAGAGAAATATCAGTTGGCTGCCTCCTGCACACCCCCTACCAAGGATGGAGCCTGCAACCCTAGCGTGTGTCCAGACCAGGAACTGAACCAGTGACCTTTTGGTGCATGGGACAATGCTCAGCGCACTGAGCCACAGCAACAAGGCCTATAGCTGCTCTTTACAGTTCTGTGTTTGAGGCTACCCAGAACCTAACATGCCTAAAGCTACACAAAAGATATTGGAAAAAGTTGATCACAGCAGTGCTAGCACAATGATGAAACCAACTCCAGAAATTGTCCCAAACTTTGGTACAAGCTGCTCTGTGAAACGTTCCTTTTTTAACAGGACTTTTGCTCACTATACCAGAGAGCTTATTCTGTTGTTATAAAACCAACCTTTATTCCACAGTGCTTTGTACCAGAGAGATTCTAATCTGTGAAGAAAAAAATACTGAAGTCATTTCCAGTTAAAGGGAAGAGCATAAAAGGCTCCTTCGGCCATCAGAAATATGAAAAGAAATGAGTCAAGTTGTGCTTTCCCAGACTCTTTCTTTCCATTGACCAGGCAAGGACTCATCAACCATTTCATCATAGGGGAAAGGCTGATGAATCTAAGTTTATGAGGGAACATTTGTGCTGGGAACAGATGAAATCAGCAATCCAGGAAGCTCAGCAGGAGGGAGCAGGGGCTTGAAGAAGGAAGACTCAAGGGAAAATCTCTCCAGTGAATCAGGACACTACTCAGTGTAGCTCAAGAGCTGGCTCTTTTCCCTCCCTCTGGCACTTCCTGCTGAACTTTTGGAAATCAGCCAGTGTTGTCATTAACACTCCCCTCCCCCAGCAACGACTGCTTCTCGTAGGCATGAAACAGAATAAAATCCTCCTCTTTTTCGATAGTGAGGTAACTGCGAGTCACATGAAGCCCTTCCTTCCTTCCTGTAGAACCGAGCATTTTTAGGAAGTTGTGCGTGATGCCTGGGCTCTCATGGGCAATGGTTAGGGTTCCGAATCCTCTATTTCACCTTTTAGGTAAAGGCTGCAGACCAGGAACCCAGGGTGGCCCCAGCTACACAACTGTGGAAGGGGAGGTGGTGACATTGCCGTAATTTTTTCTCTCTGTAGACTTTCATTTATTTAATTTATTTGTAAAATTTAGTTTTATTGTTGAAAGTATTACAGATGTCCCATTCCGTCCCCCCCACCCTCCCACCATTGACCCATTCCATCTAGCTCCCGCCCCCTCCCCAGGCCTTCACTGCAATATTGCCTGTGTCCATGGGTTATGCTTATATGCACACAAGTTCTTTGGTTAATCTCTTCCTGAGCCGCCTCCCACCCCCACCCCTTCCCTCTGAGATTCGTCAGTATCTTGCATGCTTCCATGTCTCTGGATCTATTTTGTTCGTCAGTTTATTTTGTTCATTAGATTCCACATATAAGTGAGATCATGGGATACTTGTCTTTCTCTGACTGGCTTATTTCTCTTAGCATCATACTCTCCAGGTCCAGCCCACCAACATTTCTGTCTCCAAGTCCAACCTCATCCTAAATGATTAACAATTTTTACAACATGGAAATGCTATTATTTTACTGTTAGATCAAAGCATGCAGATAATACAAATGTGCTCCTTTTGTCAGAGAATTCTAGTATTCTGCATTGCCAACATATTCTTCGCCTTGAGAAATATTCCCCACATCTGCCCATTTCAGCAGGGACCAGCACATTGCTACCTATCCTTCAGGTCTTTGTAGACACTTCCATTCCTCCTAGATTCTCTGATTAGGTTAGTCCCCTCTATCACATACCCTCACGACACCATCCATTTCCCTTCTCACATTCATCCCTCTGTGGTACCAGCTCTGCCCCACTGGACAGCAGGCTACATGGGCTACTGCCTATCTCATTCACCACTGTCTCCTCTATAAGTAGCATGATGTCCGATACCTATTGGGCTCTTAATAAATACTTATGGGCTATTGCTAAATGACAACTTCATTTTCCCTTTAATTAATGATTCTCATTAGCACTTTAAAATTATAATCAATGTTACCAAAAATTGGTATACCCACACACTTTACAGGAACACAGAACTGTGCAGTGACAGTAATACCTGTTACTTGCATAGCTTGTGCAGTTTAGAAAACTCTGTCTTATCCATTTTTTTTTTATCCTGACAATCACATTATGAGGTCAGTAGGGTGGGCATTGCTATTCTGACTTGAGGCCCAAAGAAGCTGAAGCTCAGGCAGTTTTCCGCCACCTTAAGGGGTGAGCAAGGGCTCACTTTCAGGGTCTACTCTAGGGCCATTGATGAACCTTTTGAGCTCGGCGTGTTAGCATTTTGAAAAACCCTAACTTAACTTTGGTGCCATGTCACATATAGAAATTTTTTTGATATTTGCAACCATAGTAAAACAAAGACTTATATTTTTGATATTTATTTTATATATTTAAATGTCATTTAAAAAAGAAAAATCAACCAAAAAAATGAGTTCGCGTGTCACCTCTGACACGCATGTCATAGGTTCGCCATCACTGGTCTATGCCATTCCCATAATGGCGGATAAACCCTTCCACCAGGGGTTTTCTCACTGCCTTCCAGAAACTTGATTATATCCTTTTAATCCAATTCATTTGCAATTGGGTTAATATCCTCTCTCTGGTCCCAAATCAGTTCTACCAAACCACTGGCACAAAGAGTGCAAATCAGGGGCCTAAAGACCATGTTGCATAGATTCCATCCTGCTAGTTGTGAATTTCCTACCCCCACCCCAAATACATCTTACCAAAGTCACTGTTGTTTTCTGGCCTTACACCAGGGCATGGCACCGGGCCAGCACCTAAAAGACCCGCCACACACTGTTGTGGGTTCACACCAGTTCTCCATCACAAAGTGAGCTGAGAGACCATCTATCCCTGCAAGGTCCTGTAGGAACGTCAGCGAAAAGGGACCTCCTTTAGAACTGAATGACCGACCATCAGAGGCCCTTGGTGGCTTAATTTCCATTGATTAGTACAGTGATGGCCTTCACCTGTCCTGTCCTGTCACAGTGAGTGGGTGTAGGAGTTACTGAAATACAGTGCCTCATTGTTCCATTTTGTTTCCATTTCCATGAACAAGTGAAAGAGGGCCAGCAGATGAGTGCCAGCGCCTCTCTAGGCTCCTTTACTTGACAGCTGGGGCCCTGACCGGGGAGCTGCTGAGGACTGTCATGGTCTTTGGACACTTGAGCCACTGTCACATCCTCTTTAAGAAATTGCCTTGCTTGTCAATTGCTGCTTTACCCAAGTTTGGCTTGGTCAGGGTTAATAAACGCTTACCCCAGCCCCTTTCTGTCAGTTCTCTACTGAAATCTCTACTGCAAGTTCTCTAGACACACTCCTCACTCTCCGTTGATGATTTTTGTATCCTGTAGCTTCTCTGTCATTTACTGTATGGTAGGATTCTGAGGCAGCACTGTCTCATCATCTTGCTTCTTATTCTCATTATGCAGCATATCTATGGGTCTTATTTGCAGAGTAGCTTACATAGGCTTTTTAATTAAGAGACTTGCAGTAGCCTCTAATTCCCTAGCAATTTCTCGTGTAGATTAAACTAGATGAGACAATTTTTAGTAATCATTAATGTGTGATTACATTTATGTATTGCAGATATTTCTAATTAGAACTCAGAACGAAATGAAACCTGCTTCCTCACAGGGTTTCACTCTAATAGTCATTAATGAAGAATAATCAAATTAAATGATTTGGCTCCTAGAATAATTGGATATGGAAAAACCAAGTGTGAGGGGAATGAACTTCCTCTACTTATACAACCTTTCAAAGACCATTATTACTTCTCACAGACAGTGACAATATAAACCAGGGACTTTATCAATGCCATGTGGCAGGCAGTCACTTTGGTTTTAATCTTCATTTGCCCTCCATTCTGGGGAAGTACAAATTAACCATAGAATGTGTATAGTCTTAGTGGGATAGGAATATTTCTCTGATAATGAACCTCATTTTATGTTATTTTATTTTTTCTTTTACAGTAATAAACGACTGGTGGCCTTAGTGCCCATGCCCACTGACCCTCCGTTCAACACCCGAAGAGCCTACACTAGTGAGGATGAAGCCTGGAAGTCATATTTGGAGAATCCCCTGACAGCAGCCACCAAGGCGATGATGAGCATTAATGGTGATGAGGACAGCGCTGCCGCCCTTGGCCTGCTGTATGACTACTACAAGGTAGATCCTGCAGCCCCACCTCCCTCCTCTTCAGCCCCCAGGGCCTCCCCTCAGTGTGAGAAGAAGGACAGAGCCTTTATCCCAGGCCAGAGAACAGGTAGTATTTCCACACTTCTATGGAATTCAGCCTCTTCCTGTTCTCATTGCCTCACTGATTTCCCATTGATGAAGCACAGCTTCCCGCCCACCAGAGGCAGTTTTCATTGGGATAATTACTTCTGTGTTCTCTGTTCACATGCAAACATCTTATTTACATAGAATTCCTACTCCGTGTCATATTGCAAACACTTTAACTTGATTATTATTTTTAGTGATTAAGAATATTACATTGTGTAGTAATATTAATTATATTAATTTAGTGATTGCTCAGTTGTTGGTCATTTAGGCTGCTTTTAGATTTCTATTTTATAAAGAACATTCAGGGGTTTTAGACTTTTCAGGTTTATAAGGAATATTTCAATGAATGCTTTTGGGGTAGACCTTTGTAGCCATTTCAGAACCTAAATTTTGTTACAATTCTGTTTCCATTTGTTTTGGTGGGTACTAAATATTTTGAAGGACCCTTAAAATAAAATAAGTGTAATACACTTATATGACAAAAATACCTGCCATAAGATACCTTCAAAATAGGAGTATTTCAAGAAATCAAACAAACAGCGATCTGTCTCAACTATAAAAGACTATATATCTGGTATGACCTGCTCCCTTAGAACCAGTGAAGTGTAAAAAAAATCAAGTATTTACTGAATGAGATTTATTGCTGCTTTGATTGTAAACAGCATTGGCTAATGCTGGGATTTGGCTCAAAGGTGAGAATGGTGGTGTTTATTTGGCTGGTTGGGCACAGTGAACTTCTTATTTGAGAATAAGAACTGACTGCCCACATCCCCCCCTCTCTCTATCATGAGAAAATAACCTAAGAGAAACCATTTTCCTTTTAGTAAGTTTTGGTCTTGGTTTCCTATTTCCTTCCTGCTTACCACTTCCTGTTTCCTTTCAGCTGCCTCTACTTTTGCAAGTTGAGTTGTCCCTGTTCCTCTCCTAAACCAGAGTTTTCATGCTTTCCAAAGATCTGCCCCCTGCCCCCCCTACACACACACACACACACACACACACACACCACCAACTCTGGGCCTGCTCTTCCAGCTTCTTCCCATTTTCCCCATTAAAACACACAGGAGGCTCCTCTGTGGGGAGATGAATGAGAGCCAAGCCACGTTGGCCTTATCTAAGATGCAAGACAAGATATGAGTAACTGACAGGTCAGGCCATTGAAGGGATATTGAATGAGGATATTATTAACTCAAATAAACGAATCTTTTCAAAATGTATACACAAAAATTGTATACACACTTTAACAGCTGATAGCTCAATTTTGAAAATGAAATGTATTTTAATAAACACTGCCTTTATAATTATTCAAAGTGTGTGTATACATTTTTTTGAGATGCCCTATATATGAAGGATTTTCCACTGGTACCCTTGCCCATCTATGCTGATTTCCCCCCCTTACCAAGAGAGTGGAGTTGGCAGATTTTGACAGTCATGCTGGGAAGGTATAGAACTCCTACCGTGGCTGCTGACATAGCAAGAAGGGATTTTAATTTCGCGGGGCTTGGACCTGAGATGAAAGGATGTGTTAGAGCCTAAACTACATTTCATGTAAATAGGGCAGTTTCCGCCAGTGAACAGGCAGCACCTGGAGGAAAAAAAAAAAAGAGCCTGAAAAACAAAGATGGTTTCATGGTAGGCTTTTCTTTCTCCTTTTCTTTGTTTGTGGTTGTTTTATACTTTTAATTCTTTTTTGACTGAGGAGCTCATTTGAAAAAATACAAGGATGAATTCTACATGTTTTGGAGTAAAAATTTCAAAATTTATTGAGGGTGGTCCCATAACACAGAACTTATCAGTTAGACTCATGTACTAGGCCAGTCCTTGAAGGTTCAGCTTTATTGGACATTTGTGGTAATACATAATGTTCCGAAAAGGTCTCATCCTTAGAAAGAAATCACAAACCGTTTCCTTCATGATAAAAAGAAATAGTCAAAACTTGATAGTTTCATCAATTTTTAAAATCTAGTAACACATCATTAAAGAGACCCTGATTTAATTACTTGGGTCATTACAACTTCTTTTTGCAACTTTTATAACTATATTAAAATAATGTTGTTAATAGTTTCATGAGGCTAGGAGGAAATATATTAAATATATTTTGAAGAAATATATTGCTCCATTTTTAAAGTAGGTTTTATTCCATTACTGTGAAATGGTCATATTTCATATATCTTTACTAGAGGGTTATTGTTTTGTATTAATGAAAAAGAAAAACAGATCAAAACAAAAATCATTAGTAATTAATGAAAACAATGTATTTTATTTCCCAGAGAATAATTATTAGTAAATATGTCATCTGGATTACCTCTCCTGTTGTACGTTTTTAATATTTAAAGAAGGTGAAATATTGCTTTTTGTAAATATTTTGAGATGCAGAGTGGAGACTTTACATAAAACTCCATTTGTAGCCAAGTCTGTAACTCTTTCTGTTGAATGATTATTTTCCACGATTAATTTACTAATTTAGGATATAAAATATTTAAATAAAGTATTTCCTAAGCCTTTGTAGATTAATATAATAACATGGCTTTGTTTATTTTATATAAGCTTCACTATATTTGCTTGGAACATTAAAAACATTAAAGGGTTAGTCTTGTTTCCAAAAATTTTGTGTCCAAATGATCATTTTCACACCTAAGCCCTTTGGATGTTCCTGTTTATATATGCTGATGTTAAAGTTATAACAGAGTTTAATCTACATTGAGGATAGACTCTTCTGTAGTAAAGAAAAATGTTATTAAAAAGAGTTTAGTTTTTGAGGAAAAACGTTGGGAAGTCATTGTAATAATTCTCTCCACATTATTATTTAAATTTTATACACTTTTACTACCTCTTTAGAATGCTCTCTGATTCTTTCTGTGATCGGCACCATTTTTCCTTACTCCTCAGGCTGGAGTGCCTTATCCCTTAGGGGACAGTGGTGGGCTTTGTCAGAGAGGCGTGTGTGTGACCACAGTAGGCACTCAGGAAATGGTGGTCCCTGTCCTTAGAAGCTGGCATCGGCATATCACAGTATTATACTGTATACATTTTAAAGTCTTTTTTTTAAAAACATGCTTAATTCACTTTATTTATTTATTTTTCTTGTATGGAATTATGTGGTGGGTCACAGCTGGTACCTGGATCCTCTGCACAGAAACTCCGGTGTGGGTCTTTACAAGGTGGTCAGTGAATTCCTGATAGGGAGGCGTGGCGCACAGTCTCTTTCCAGAGCTTGGGGGTGAGATAGCTGTAGGTCTTAGAGGTGGCCTTGGTGAAGTTGCCCCGATGGCAGTACAGCCCCTGGCTGAGGTGTAGCAGTCATGGATACCAGCCATCAGCAGCAGCCTCTTGGGCAGGGGTGGGTGTGTGTGTGTGGCGGGGGAGGCTGAGATGAGGCCCGTGTCCCTGGGGGCACCATCACAGAGCCACAGCGGTGCTCACCTTACAAGCCAGTGGGGGGCTTGCCAATCTTGTTCCCCTAGTAGCCTCGCTGCACGGGACAGTAAAGAACTTGGCTAGGATGATGGCTTCACAGATGATAGTGGTTACTTCCTCAGGGCACTTAGCATCTAGACTGACATGTCCATTGTAGTCCCCCACTGGCAACAAATGCCTTTGACCAGCATGGGTCTGCTTTTGTACCGGCTTCATGTTCAAAACCTCTTCCTTGAGCGTTGCCTCCAGGAAAAAGTCAATGATCTCAGATCCCTTGATGGGCAAGGAGAAGAGATAGATCTCCTCCAGGGATTTGATCTTCATGTCTTTGTCCCTGGCCTTGCCTCTGGGAGCTCTGCGGCCCCAGTCCTGGCCCTGACCATGACCAGTGACCCAGGCCTGGATGCCACTGCCACATCATGCACCCAACCACTGCAGCCTCCCATTCCAGGGCCCTGGGCCCCAGGCCCTTCTGCATCACCTGCATCATCTGCCATCTGTGTTTCCTTGGAGAAGAAATGGAAGTCTTTTCACCTACATTTTTAAACTGTTACCACAGGATCACAGCAGGGAACCCTATCCTGTTTTATGGTTTATAGTTCAGGCAACTAAGTGGGATTTACTCAAGGTCACAGGTCAATTCTGTACATTTCTTAACATCTATTCCATTATACAGTTTTAGTTTGCTCAGGCTGCCATAACAAATTGCCACAACTGGGTGGCTTAAACAACGGATTTTTTTTTCTCTCTCAGAGTTCTGGAGGCTGGAAGTCTGAGACCACAGTGCTGGCAGGGTTGATTTCTAGTGAGACCGCTCTTTATTTCTTGCTTGCAGATGGCCATCTTCTTGCTGTGTCCTGACATGACTTTTTCTCTGTGTGTGTACCCTGGTGTCTTTTCCTTTTCTTATAAGGACATCAGCCCTACTGGGCTTAAGCCTTCACTTAACCTTAATTACCTCCTTGAAGTCCCTATTTCCAAATATAGTCACATTTGGGTTTAGGGCATCAACTTATGAACTTAGGGAATACACAATTCAGTGTTCACCATAAAAAAATTTTTTTTGGACTTCCGGGCAAGATGGTGGTATATGCAGTACTTTCCTCCTCCCACAACCACATCAAAATTACAACTATATTGCCGAAACCGGTTTGGCTCAGTGGATAGAGCATCGGCCTGCGGACTGAGGGGTCCCAGGTTCGATTCCGGTCAAGGGCATGTACCTGGGTTGCGGGCACATCCCCAGTAGGAGATGTGCAGGAGGCAGCTGATCGATGTTTCTCTCTCATCGATGTTTCTAACTCCCTATCTCTCTCCCTTCCTCTCTGTAAAAAAATCAATAAAATATGTTAAAAAAAAAAGAAAAAGAAAAACCACCTTTAAACTGAAAAATTTTGTATGAACACCACACAGTGTGAAGATATCTATCACCAAGAAATGTTTTCTAATGAGGAAAATTGCATTTAGTA